TACGACTGGTGGTGCGGCGAAGATCGAGGATGTGGGGTTGGGTATGAGTCTGGTCGGCTTGGTAAGTTTCCTTGTATTTCTTTAGAAGATTGGTAGCTGATTGCGAATAGGTTGTTGTACCGTTGGCGGCAGTCATCCTCTGAGCTTTGCGATGTTGATGAACGAAAATACCATGTCGGTGCTTCGGTCTGCTGGAGCTACTCCGGTTCATGCTCGAGCGAAATCGAGAAAATCGCGTTTGATGGGATATACGCGTCCGCCTGTACTCATGTCCCTCAGGGTCCAGAGATGCTTGGATCATGCTGCTCCGGTTTCTCTCTAGAAAGAAACCTGGATTTTTGATCGGGCATCGAAAAAGAACACGGTACGAATCATGAGCTATGATGATGGAGCGGGTGAGCCTCCAGACTTCCATCGATGTGCCAGAGCGATCTTCGAGGGAAATTTTTCGAAAGATCTGGTATAAGGAGGCGATATGCGTCTGAGCTCCTTCGGCGAGATCAAGAAGCTTTGATCGCCAGAAGTGGATATTCATTGCTATCTTGCAAAGGGATCTCCAGATGTGTACTGGCGTCCAGGTGCATATAAAGCAGCTTTCGCTCACGATCAGGAGTATTCAACTCAATGACCTCCCAACTTCTCCAAACGACCAAGATATCGTGTGACATCTATCATGCTGTGTCGTTTGTTTGGCTTGCCATCTCTTTGCGCGATCGCCATCGGAACAGATCATCATGAAATGTAGGTGCGCCCACGACTTCGGTCCGAGAATTGCGAAATGATGTGAAGATACTCCTATGTGACTTTTGCACTGCGCTGGATTTCGTGAGACTGATCGCAGCCATGGAGCTTGACTCTGGAGACGTAGATGACTAAACATCTGTTTCAACCTGGTGTTCTTACCTCTTCGGCGTGGAAGTCTTCCTCATGTCAATGTGAGGCGGCGCGGAATTCATGTAATGTCTCTCAACACCCCTTTCCGTTTTTCGTTGTTCAAATACTAATATTGGAAATGATGTGGGCGGTGTGTTCATGTTAGGGCTCACTGGGCCTAGAAGATGAGGAGCTACAAGGTTGGGCACGTATCGATCCAGATGCCAAGCCGCTAGTCATCTAGCCCTTTCCCAGAACACTTTCCCACGCGCATGCTTGCTCTAACAGCGCAGCCGTCATTGCAGGTACAACTCGATATTTGTTTGTATACCGGATCTTCTTCGTATCCGAAGATGCAATCCTCTCAACACTCTTCTTTGATTGCGCGTAAGCTTGTGGATTAGTATAGCATCCGCAGATGCCGTCACTTCAATCATTTCCGTGATCACTCATCCCGTCATCTACGGTTCCAAGTAGCCGCGCCGTTGGACGGAACCCATTTTTTCCGCACAGTCGCTCCGCATCTCCACTACGGCTATGGTGCCATTCCGGATGAATGTTTCAAGTTGTACATCTGCAATACTCGGCCAAACAGAACACGACTTAGACCTTTTGCCACTGACCGGCCAGTCGCATCCCCTGTTCTTCCGAGCCGTTCCCCATGATAGCACGCTTCCGGATGCCTCGTTGTGGGTCAAATACCTCTTTTCGCATAGCACTGCTGTCAAGCATTGTCTGGACTTGGCTTTGGTGCTTGATGTGCTTGTGCTTTGGGGTCGGAAATGACGAGGCTGTAGTTCTTCTACCACTACAGCGGCCGAGCGCAAAATTATGTGGCGACTAGTCGGTAATATGCAGGTGGCTCTTCAACAGATTATCTGGGGACCCCAAGGCCCTGCATACGTTTATATAGCGTCGTCAATATCCCGTATACTCATCTTCACCTAACGCTCACGTCAGATTCAAACTTTCAGCATGCGATTCCACGGTACTAATAGCCCTTTGCAGCTTAGACCCTTTCTGTACTGACGAACTTATAGCTGCATCATCATTGGCTCTTGCCACTGCAGGAACTGTATCTGCCATACCTTCACCCTCTGCAACTGCGGCCACCGATGCCTGCTACGTGACGAAGTACGCCGCTATCCCGGCTGCAGTCGCAGCTTGCACTTGCATAATCCTCGATGGCATCACCGTTCCTGGAAACTCAAGTATCGACCTTACGAAGCTGAAGACTGGAACCAAGGTTACGTTCAAAGGAAGGACCTTCTGGGAGTACGCCGATGCAAACTATGCCTTCATCAAGGTGGCAGGTACTGATGTCGAGATCACTGCCGAAGAAGACGCAGTACTTGATGGCAATGGTCAGGCTTGGTGGGATGGCCTTGGTAGCAACGGAGGCGTTACCAAGCCAAACCACTTCATTGAGGTGAAGGTGCTTGGAAAGAGTTCCGTACACGACATCTACATCAAGAACTATCCGGTGCACTGCTTCAGTATCAGCAACAGCGCTGGTCTGGATGTCCACCACATCACGCTGGACAACAGCGACGGATACGCGCCCAACAACCGCTCCAATGGTCTTCCTGCAGCACACAACAGCGATGGATTTGGTCTGAGTAGCACCAACCATACTAAGGTTCGCGACAGTGTCGTTATCAACCAGGATGATTGTGTAGCTGTCACCAGTGGAGACAACATCCACGTCAGCAACATGTACTGCAACGGCAGCCACGGTCTTTCCATCGGATCTGTGGGTGGAAAGTCAAGTATGCCATCCCATCATCCGGCCATATAGTAGCCATGCTTTGCTAACCACATTTAATCAGACAACAACGTAACAAACATCTCATTTACAAACTCCGTGGTTCTTAACGCCGAGAACGGAGCCCGCATCAAGTCGAATTCCAACACCACCGGTTTCATCTCCAACATCCACTACGAGAACATTCGCGTTGAAAACATCTCCATCTACGGAATTGACATCCAGCAAGACTACCTAAACGGTGGGCCAACTGGCAACCCTACCAACGGTGTCATCATCCAAAACATCACCATGAAGAACATCTTTGGCACGGCAACAGAAGAAGGAAAGAACTACTATATCCTTTGTGGTGAAGGAAGCTGTAGCGACATCAAGATCGACAACGTTCGTATCACTGGCGGCGGAGAAGAGAGTTCATGCAATTTCAAGACGGAGGGCAACTTTGACTGCGACGGACACTTTGTATGAGCTGGCTATCTCTGTACTTCTATATTTCTTTCGCAGAGTGCGGAAACCATGCCGCGTGTCAACAGAATTGAATAGTCGTCCCAACTACCGCGCGCTTTGATGGTTTCACAGACAATCCCTAGCAATATCGTTTGCAGTTTCTGAGGACCAGAGTTCAAGCGATGAGTAGTAGTATGTGGGCCGGATGGATGGGGCCCCAGAGCGATGTAACACCAATGTTGTCAGAGTTGAACTACGCCGTACGTTCGGGTCATGGTGCTTCTTGCCTGCGCAAGTACCGTGTGAACTGCCCAGGTGTGCACGCGCCACGTGACGTAAAATTCAACGTTAACCGGGCGTCGCGCCAACCACCTCGCGCCGCATCCAAAGTTCAGTCCGTTCCTGACTCTCGCCCAAACTTTGCTCGTCGTTTTGGGCAAACCGTTCGCGGTCTGGACGTCCTCGAGAGTACCGCGACGGTTCGGGTCCCGAACGACGGCGCCGCTTTTCAGGGACACGCCATTGTGGATACGCGCTCACGACGACATGGAAGAGGCGCGATGGAGTTAATTACAGTACGTCTTCGTGATTAACGCTCCGTCCGATTTCACATACCAAGCAACCAAACGCTCTAGCTAAGGCTGTTATCTCGAACTACTGCAATTTATCCGGCCACTTCCTGCCCGTTCTGGCAGAGTCCCGTCTCCTTACATTACCCTACACTAGTCGATATTTCCTTTGATCGCGCGTGGTTACGCGATGACCTCGAGCTACAAGGGCATCCTCAGCGATGACGGACTGCAGTGCGGCAGCCCAATTGTTACAATCACAGTCCCAAAGCGTTCATTCGCTGCTATCGTTTATGCATGGGGTACGTGCTCCTGCCGTCAGCACTCCATTCTGTCAGCCACCGCGTCTCAAGTAAGTCGTCGTGGGAAGGGCATTTGAGTGCTGATTGACGTGCGCGCGCTGTGAGGGAGTCCTTCCTCAATGTACAATGGCTGCCGTGCTACCTCGTCCAATGCCTGACCGGCTGTCGAGCTGCGATAGCTGCGTCTGCGTTAAGCGAAGGCGTGATGCCGAAGTTCGGCGTGCAGGAATGAATCCTGTCAGGTCCCACCAAAAATGTCACTCATCACGGCACCAACACACTTCGAGAAGTTACCAGCGGTGCGTCATCCAGGTACCGCGCGCTGCATGCCCCTTACAGGGCCTAGTGTTCGGATGGATTCGTTGCGGATGGCCTGTTGCGTTTCTGCGATAGGTGCGTGTTGCTGCACACCATGTCTGTGCGAATCATCGCCTCGCGCAGCCACCTTGTCCGGCCACGTCTCGACCCGGCTCGAAAACTGCCTTCAGACGGCGCTGAAAGAGACTTGAGCAGTCGATGCGCACACTATCTCTTTCATTCTCGTCGCTTGCCCTCGTGCTCTTCCAGCCCCTACTACGGTTCCTTGCGGCCACCTCAAACACGCTACATATTGGCATGCCTGTCGTAGCCTCAGCCTTGCCCCAGCTTTGAGGCCAAACCAGGGCAGTGGTCATGTCGATGTTGCGCACGAGCGCCCCCGCGAGCAGCCCTCAATTAGCTTCTTCTACAATCCTTCCATACGCCTTCTAGAAGCGTGCCATTTCCGCATCCCCCGCTGCACCTTTGCGTGAGGTGATCCCACTTGTATATCAACTGTCGCACCAACAGCAGCTGATGCCTGCTCGGATACACGATTATCCACTCCTTGGCCCCTAGTCTTACCGCGACACCTGGATACCCTTCCCCACCCTCTTTTGCACCTCCGCCTGTCGTTCGTTCTAGTTTTCAGTCGTTTGGGTTGTCGCAAGGTCTTCATGGTCGGCATGTTGGAGTAGTCTTCTGTTGCGCGATTTGAACTGAGCATACGGCTCTCCCCTCGCCACAATGGAGGACAACCTAGACATACCGGAGGAGTCTATGCGACACATTGAGGCCCTGCTGGCGAGGCATCCTCCACATTTGATCCAGAGAATGTTTTCTCAAGCGATAGATTCGCGTACGTTCCTCGTTGTGTTGTTTTGTGTGTACATGCTCACCAAGTCTAGGCCGCAACTCTACAGCCTCGTCATTCATGTCTACCAGCACCGCGAGTTCATCTACAACATCCTCGTCGGGGTCATCATGGCGGTCTCGGCTTTCTATGGCATCAACATTCTCTTCATCTACAGGAAGCAGCGATACGCGAAGTTCCATTGCTTCCTCTTCGTCATCGCGCTCTAGGATGAGAAGGGCGGAGCCACGTTCCTACCCAGCTGGGCTTGATCCGACACGTCCGGTGCCGGCTTCCATGCCTGCGGTGGACACTGAGAGTCCACTTGACCTGAAGATTGAACCAAGCTACACACCGACAGACGACATTAGTGTTGCTTCTCCATCGCTGAACCCGGATGATGACAAGTCACAGAGTCAGTCCGGCGAGCCATTCATGTTCTGTACGTATTGTGCCGAACAGAAGAGCCAGAAGACGTTCAAAGCAAAGTCTGACTGGAAGAAACATGAGATGAGGATGCACGAGACTGGAGAAGACTGGCCATGTGTCGTCAACGGTTGCAACCGCATTTTCGACCGACAGAAAGATTTCATCAAGCATCATCAACGCTACCATGCCGGTCGACCCCTGCCATCGCTGACAGACATTGGCATCACATTATTGCCGCGAAGAGTGTTTGGTTGTGGGTTCGATAAGTGCAAAGAAGTCAGCATCGGTTGGGATGAGCGATGCGACCACGTCGCGAAGCACATGAAGAATGGCGCGACGATGGACCAATGGAAATACTCTAATGTGATCAGGAACCTAATACGACAGGAAGCTCTCCACGACACATGGAAAGAGCTTATCGGTTGCTTGGATGAGAGATTGCGAGAGAGTCGGTCGCAGATTAGTTGGTGTCCCGACAACTCGCGAATCCTCCGACAGAAGCTCCAGTGCTGTGACCTTCGACCGAGTCGGGAAGAGGTTTTGATTACCGCCTTGAGTCTACGCGCTGATATACCCCTGGACCCTGTGCATCAACAGTTACCCACCGGCTTCGTAACTCCCTCGAGAGATTCCGTCCCGCATGTTGAGAAGCTGTCGCGCGAGCAGCGGATGCACATACTCATCGGAAACTCAAATCCGCATCACTCACGAGCGCGTCTCGCAAGTATCAACGCAGCTTTGCTACGCATCAGTAGTTCGTTGGCGCACGTACCGGACTACGATTGCGGCTCGTCTCCATTTGTGGAGCCGCAGACGCCTGGTGCGCCCGCAGTGGATACGGCCAGCCGCCGTATCAGTTATATGGACGTGGACCCTGGAGATTACCTGGACGTAGCGCAACCGGCTATTCCTGATCTCCCACCGGCTATGACGACATCCACAATGCATACACCCCATGCACACCCCACACCAGTCATGGATCACGAGCAGCACACACAGTTGTACCAACAGGAGTACATGGACCAAGTTAAAGTTACACCCAACCCGCTGGAATCGCTGTATCCCAACTACTTCGGTGCTGCTCCCCAGTTCGAAGAGTCGCAGTACTACGACCGCCCTTCGTTCGGTCAAATGATATCGAAGCCGCTCCATAAGATAGGCAGTCGGATAAGCAGCTCAAGAGGCAGCTCTTCGAATCAGAGACCATCATCGCAGATGAGTCAAGCTTCGTCAGAGATGCTTCCTGACTACAGTGTTGCCGCAATGGGCATGCGTCACCCTCATCAGCATCAGCAGCCCCAGCATCACATCCCACAACACCATCAGCATTCTCAACATCCTCAACACCCACAACATCACCTGATGCCTCAGCAGCATCAACCCTACCGCGACACTACATCGCAAATGCATGACCACATACACATGTACACCACACAAAGCTGAAGAGCTCACGTGCAACGAAGTTCTCATGTCCTAGTACTTTCATCAACGCCCCCTTTAGTCCTTTCAAGCGAGCATTTAGAGTTTTATTTGTTACCTCATTTTTTTCTTTGATACCCCGTGCTTTCGAGCACATCTGATAGACTTGTACTATAAAGCATATTCATAGTATAGAGATGTTATTCGTGTGACGTCACTCAGTCTCTCGTCTTGCGCTTCATGCGATTATGTGGTGAATATGCCATGTATCTGTTGCTGAGAGTGTGGCTTCGTTTGGTATCGTCCGCGTGTAGTCATCCCGTTCGCATGAACCCAACGGTGTTGTTCACCGTGAGACACAACGTCGGCAAGCTCCTGTCTCAGCCTATGCCCAGTCACCACGGCGTTCCCATATGCCAACAGGACTATCGTCCCTTCTTTTTTCTTTCGTTCTAAGTGGACTTGATTCATGCGCTCAGCCGCGCATGTTTGCTCTTTCCTCGTTCACCTCGCTTATCAACGCCACTGCCTGTTACAGCCACCTTGGCAAGACCCTCACTCACCTCTTCCTACTTTCAATCCCTTTCTTCACACTACACCACTCTCACTTGCTTCAAGCTACTAACATGCAACTACTCGATCTGCCACCCGAGCTCTTCGAGAGGGTCGTCGCCGCCCTTGCGCGTGCAGCGCCCTTCCATGAGCTAATCCGACTGCGCGCCGTGTCCCGTACACATTGACCTTTGTGACAGTACATGTACCGTGAAGCTAATAGAGACAGGGACCTTTGCCGGCGACATCGACAACGAACTTCTTGCAAAAACTTCTGTTGCGGACTTCCATAGTCGTTACCATCAACGCCAGTCGATCCCTGTTAGCCTTGATATTCATAACCCTCTACCTCCTTTGCATCAGCTATACGTTATATCGCGTCATAACAAGGATGATGATACCGATTCGATGGGTACGCTCCCATCTGACATCAAGGGCTACCTTCTGAGCAACATCGAGATCTATCTGCTCAATCACATCGAAGACAACGATATCATAGCCTCTGGACTGCCGAGTTTCATACACAAGGTTACGGACAAGCTCATGCAGTTTGTTACCACGGGTACAGATCATTCCGTTCTGCGAAAGGACTATCTGAACGCACTTATCCATGGTCTAGTCCTTACAAACAAAGTTGCCCCACGGACTATGTTCGACACAAAGCCATTGACGTTGGACTCCGTCTTTACACCGATCTTCAGACCTGGTTCGCGCAGCATAGCGGAAAGGGAACGGGACCATCTCAACTCTGCACAAGAGAACGTCAACGACATGCTGGCAGCAGCAGCTACAGTAGGGAGTCTCGCAGCTGTTCGTCACTACATTTCGCAATCTGCTGAGGTTATTGACTGGTTCCCCAAATACTTTGCTGGCTTTGGTAATCCTTTGACCGCAGCAGCTTCCAGTGAAGATGTCGAAGTTCTTGAGTGTCTGCTCACAGAAGTCAACAATGAGCTCACGAAGCGGCGTTTCGCTCGGATACAGCACGGTCGTACCACCCGGTGTGGTCCACTCACAGAGACTATCACTTCCGCAATAAGATTCGCAGTTCGGACCGGAAAATTGAGGGCTGTCGTCACACTGTTTAACTTCTTGCCAAGATGCCGCGTTGAAATACCAGCGCATATGAAGTCCCGGTCACACTACCTTACCGATGCCATGAGGTGGGGACAGATGGACGTGTTCATATGGCTCATGGACCAATGGAATCCTCTAATCGCCGACCTGCCCCATTGGAATGCCCTGACTGCAGGTTTACGTCTTGCGGTCAAACATGGTCATACCAACATTGTGCGATACGTCTTCGACAAAGGTTTGGTATATCCAGATGATGCGGACGTCAACACTGTGCTCATCGCTGCGACACACGGTCATCGCGCTATCATACAACTGGCGCTCGACCGAGGCGTTCAGCTTACGATGCGGGACCTCATCGCGGCGCTGAACGGATCACTTCCCTTCCTCATCACCCAATATCTTCTGCTTCACAACGTTCCACTCACGTCTGTGACCAACGTGGAAGGTGGGAGGTCAATCACTACTTCCATCGTTCCTACAGTCGAAGCGCTCTGTCGAGAATCTATCCACATTCCTTTCGGCGATTACAACGCGGTTCGGGGCGGGGAAAAGGTGCTGGCGCTCATACTCTTGGCGAACGAGATGAGACGACAAGTTCCAGAGCTTACGTTGGACAACTGTGTTGAGCTGAAGAAGGTGTTCGATAGGCTGGTCAGAAAGTGTCTGCGCTTGCCAAGGGGGTCAATTCCGTATATTGAGATGGTTGAAGAGCTGCACAGCTGGATGGAGTGGGGAGATGGACGAGAGTGGGCAAATTGTGAAGTCTAGCGCGGAAGCATGTAGCATGTGTGCTCGGGTGCCTGAGAAGGTAGTGGGTCGAACTGCAAGGAAGAATGTTTGCTCCTGCAGCTGGAAGACAGATGCAATTAAGATATGAGACACCTTTCCGTAAACATGGTGCCAACATGTCCTGATTTGTAACACCGCACTGACCCTTGTTTGCTATGGGTCCTGCAAGTACCGGCGGCCTCTTATATGCAAGCGGGTCTAAACTCGTGTACCATGGGTCTGGGACATTGACAGCGGATATGAGCATGCAGGGAGAATTCGCGGGCTTCCATGCATGAACAGGGACGACATGGATTAATGGGGTTACAGTGGGCTGTTGCATAAGGTCTGCCCTACCTGGACCTACCATCACGGAGCTCGCCGAATCAATGGAACCAATGATGATTCAAGACAATACCATGTTGTTCGAAGAAGCCAGGAGGTGATGTGTCGAAAATAGATGCGAGAGACGAGATGGCCACGGACCGATTGCGTACATGTCTGGCTTACCTAACTCGGCGCCTATCCGACGTTCTTCCATCCATGGTCCCATGTACCAGGCGCGTGTGAATGTCACTGTTAGCCTTCAGCTCGCAGTTCTTTTTTGGTAGACCCTTGCGATATTCCATCATCCTCATCTCCTCGCGAAGTCATGACACCCACTCGGTCAGCCCGATCAACTTCTTCCTTTGCATGTTTAGACGACTTGCTAGACGATAGGGCACATGTCTTCAATGAACGGCTTGTAGTGGTCGACAAGGCTTTGCCTCATCTCATGGCAGCACCGAAGCTCGACGAAGGTTGCCTCGGCAATCCTTGTAAGGCTTACTTAGGCGTACGGGAACGCGGTTATGCGGCACCGTATTTCGTGAATACCAATACCACGCTCTACCAGCCGCAGTCGTGTAGCACGCTGTGAGGGCGTGGTTCTACCACGAGGTAAAAGGACGCAATGTGATTGGCTGGAGAGTTAGCGGCGTCTACGGTGATCTGGGGTTATCAGAGATTTCGAAGGATGGAGAGCCAGCTTGGCGTGGGGCTGGGCGGACTGGGCGCCAAGGGAACGTGGTACAGCGTCGAACGCTCGTTCGTTCACTTTGACTTCGTTACACCAAGGCGATGGCGAAGACCCGCGACAAGACACAGTGGAGACTTAACGCGACACCAACATGCCATGCGCGTGGATCCAGGCTTGGGGGTCCTACAGACCAATCACACGTCTCTTGCACCCGAACGCTCACCCCGGAGCGGCGCTGAGGGTCCAGAAAACAGGTGCTGTTGGGCTTTTGGACCACGGCCAGAGCCGAATAGCATGATATTGTGGCTTCGATGATCCACCGCGCCTCGAACAGGCAGGCAACACCGTCTGACGTCCACAAAAGTCCACTTGCAGTGAAATGTCATCTGCGCCGCCAAGATCCCACGCCTCCGTTTGTATGCTGTGTACTTAAACTCCCCTGCACTCGTTCAACCAAACAGTCAGGACACCTCACAACACCTCAGCTTTTCAGTCAACCGGCGCTACTGCTCGCCACTCTTCACCCACAATGGCTCCCGCCTTGAAGAAGTACGACTGGATCCTAGCGATCACCACCATCGCCTTTGTCGCCTCGTCCGCCTCCAACGGTGCCAACGATGTCGCCAACTCCTACGCCACGTCCGTGGCTGCGAGGACCCTGAAGATGTGGCAGGCTGGTATTCTGGCCTGCTTCACTGAGTTCCTCGGTGCTGTCGCTCTCGGATCCCGAGTCACTGGAACCATCAAGAGCGGTATCTTCGCCCTCGACACCTTCAAGCCTGTACCCGGTACCCTCATGCTCGCCATGGGTTGCGCCGAGGTCGGATCCGCCGTCTTCCTTACTGTCGCTACCATCGCTGGTATGCCCGTCTCGACCACCCAGACCGTCGTTGGTGCTCTCGCTGGTGCCGGTATTGCTGCTCAGTCTCCTCTCAGCTGGGGCTGGAAGAAGGGATCCATCTCCCAGATCGCCGCCTCATGGGTCATCGCGCCATTCCTGTCCGCCGCCTTCGCTGCCGTCCTCTTCTTGACCATCAAGTTCGGTGTCCACAACCGCAAGGACCCCTTCAAGTGGGCTATGCGCCTGATTCCCTTCTACCTGGCTTTCACCGCTGGTGTCCTCGCCCTCTTCATCATCGACGAGCTGCCAAACGGCGAGTCTCTCGAGGAGATGGGCGCTGGCAAGGCCTGCGGTATCATTCTCGGTGTCTTCTTCGGCATGCTTGCCATCGCTTACATCTTCTTCATTCCTTACTTCACCCGCCGCCTTGTCAAGGGTGACACCAGGCTGAGGGCGTGGCACATTCCTCTCGGTCCCCTTCTGTACCGCGAGAACCCTCCCATCTACTTCCCCGGCAAGGGCGACCAGATCGTCACCGACTACTACGCGAAGGCTGCCCCTGTCCCAATCCAAGAGAACGATGGACTCAAGGGCGAGAAGGCTGTTGGCCACTCCACCTCCCTCGACAACAAGTCTTCTGACAGCGACAACATTGACGTCGAGGGTGGCCGCGGCCTCTCCCGTCCTCTTCCCCGCGATGGCGCCGTTGCCCACATTGTCCCTGCCACCCCTGAGCCTGAGGAGCGCTGGTTGAAGCCCGTCGAGCACCTCCCCGCCTACTCTCCCAAGAAGATCGCCAACTGGACCAAGTTCATCCTTCTCCAGGGTATCTCCCGCGACGTCGTTACCCAGAAGGATCTCGCCGATGTCCACTCCCGCGCCATCGTCTACGACAACCGCGTCGAGCATCTCTGGACCTACGCTCAAGTTGCCTCCGCCATGATGATGTCCATTGCCCACGGTTCCAACGATGGTAAGCTCCATTCCCTCAACCCTCACTCGCGCACACAAATGCTAAGTCACCATCACAGTTGCCAACGCAGTCGGCCCCTGGGTCGGATCCTACAACACCTACACCACCGGCGTCGTCACAAAAGAAGCCGACACGCCCATCTGGATCCTCGTCGTCGCCGGTCTCCTCCTCGGTCTCGGATTCTGGTTCTACGGCTACCACATTGTGCGCGCGCTCGGCAACAAAATCACCCAAGTCTCGCCCACGCGTGGTTTCAGCATGGAGCTCGGCGCCGCCATCACCGTACTCCTCGCCTCGCGTCTCGCTCTCCCCGTCTCCACAACGCAATGTCTCACTGGCGCTACCATTGGTGTTGCGCTCTGCAACTTCGATCTCAAGGCCGTCAACTGGAAGCAGGTTGGCTTCATCTTCTCCGGATGGGTCATCACCCTGCCCGGTGCTGGTCTTATTTCCGGTCTGCTCATGGTTATGGCGCTCAACACGCCCCATTTCTAGATGTTTGCTAGAGCTTTCTTCCTTCGGATTGTTTGATGGGTCCCTTTTTGTTATGCGATAAATGCGCGGATAGGCATGAAATGGAGTATGATACCAATCGTTTAATGTACCAAATTGTAATCTATAGAGTTACACACTATGAGTCTCCAGAAAATTTCGCATGTGATGAGCGATTGTCGTGCATTTCCAGCTCGAGGGAAGGAGCGTTTTGCTTGCAATCCCAGAGGTGTCGTCTCAATGCCAACATCCGCTCGGCGATTTGCTCGGCTGCAATGGATTACTGAACGCCATTTACAACATCGTACCGTACAAGCTCGAGCAGACTCAGCGACGACACGCGCACAGACATCAAGGAACACGCGCAACAACACTCATCGCAGGCAAAACCGAAGGTCTCACTCAAGCCGCGCAAAGATATAAGGGTGGAAGCAGCTCGAAGCCACCGAAAACATTGGTATTTCCCTAGAACAGCACAGCACAGCGCAGCACAGAATCCTGTCGGGGGACGCTACAAATACGGTCCAGTCTACCCTGACCCATACACTGCGTTGGAAATAAAAAACGTGGTAAGTGTGTCAATGACACACAAACTCCATACGCCCAGCACGGAATAACACCGCCGGCCCGAGCGAAGAAAAGACAGGCTTCAGGGCCTATGCATTACATCATAAAGCGAGGCTAGAAAAGGATGGCTGAGAAGCGAATTAAAATAGCGATAAAGAGGTGATGAGGAGGAGATGAGCAGACGCGACGGGGGTATGTGAGTATCGGTGTGCGCCTATGCGGTCTGCTTGCTGGACGATTGCTGGAGTTCATTGACGAAAGCGTCGTAATCTGCGGCGGAGGAACCGGAGCCTACTATGCTGGTAAGCCATGGATCGGACCGGCTGCTTCTTCATCTTCAATAAGCGTCTGGGTTGGGGTAGAAAGAGGACGGCGAAGGGTGCTGCTGACCTTGCGGTGGCTCGTCGACCTTTTGGCGCTTCTCGGCGTAGTCGTACGAACCTTCAGAGCTGGTGTGCTTGTTGCCTGATGCGCTGTGTTGGGCGGCTGCTGCAGCTTGCGCTGCCATTTGCAGTTCGCCGATTTGGTGCTCCGAGAGTCCTCCATTGTTGTTGTTCGAGCCCTGCTGTTGCTGCTGTGGTTGCTCGGGCTGTTGGGGCGGCTGTGGTGGGTTCGGTTGTTGGTGCATGTTTGGCTGTTCGTGGGGCCGGTTTAGGTCTACACCAGCCGGCGCAGGTGGTATCTCGCCTTGGGTTTCGAGTAGTCGCGATTGCAGATTGATGATGTAATCGCGCAATTGGTAGTTCTCGGTTTGAAGCGTCTTGTACAGTTCGCATAGCTGCTCGAATTCCTTGACCTGGTCTTTCAGCTGCTTAATGTACTCTTCCTTACGCTGACGGAATGCGCGCTGGTGGTGTTAGCTTGTGCCATTGGAATGCGCGCGTTGCATGTACCTGGGCAGCGCGATTCTGTGCGGCGCGCTTAGACGTCGACAGCTCTCTCCGTCCCTTGGAGCGACCCTCGCTCGTGTTCCCATCGTCGGGGCCGCCGGCGCTCATGTCGTAGGCGGAGCCCCCAATGGCCGGGTCGATGGCGTGTGGTGGGCCAGCAGTGTGCGGGTGCTGGGGATGCTGGGCGTGGGGGGAATGCTGAGGGAGAGGCTGCACGCC